AAAGTAAGCAGAGGCAAGAGCAAGCAGAAAAGCGTCTGCACTGTAAGAAAGATAAGCAAGAGCACAAAGGAATACCCTTTCCATCCAATGTGAAATGCTGTGGTGTCTTGCACTTCAGGGCCACCATATAATAGGGCCTCTTTAAAGAACTACATATCATATAGGTAGAATCTCAGAAACCAAATTATTATAGTTATTATCATCTTCACTGAGTGTGGTCCCTCTGTACTTTCTGAAGTGAACAGTGAGGGACATTCCTCGTCCAGGAAACAAAAGAAAACTCTTCAACAACTACGTCCGAAGCAGAGGCCATCTGGAAACTTTGGCAAAAGAACTGCCGACTCTGCTGCTGGTGGATAAAGTGATGATTGTTACTTTCCACAAACCTTGTTTAGTGCAAGGAGTGCCACAAATTAGCTCTAAACTAATATCGACTCCTGTTTATTACAAGCCTCAATATCTCAAACTATGATGCATTCCCCCTATGGTGTTTACCCGGGGTTGTGTACTTCAGTAGATCATCACAACTACTTGAGCCCGGAGGTGATAAATACTTTTTTGTATTAATCTCAGAGCCATTCAGATATGTGCTCTAATGACATCAATAGATAGAAGATAGATTTTCTCATCTAACCTGCATCAAGAAACTACATTTCCACGATATCGAACTATTCCTTTGAAGTTTAGTATACTGTAGCTAGCACACTTTAAGTGAGGATAACTGTAATTGATACCATCTGTTTTTCACCACAGTCCGGGTGCATTTCGTGTTATTATCTATCGTTCGGCAACAACAACAACAACAACACAGTGTGACATGCAAATAATGTGTTGCGCTTTAAGCAAATGTTTTCATACTCGGTTTACATGTCATTATTGAGTTACACGTCATATTTAAATACAAATGTTCCCTCTGTCGCTTACGCAGAAAAAACCATTTGGTCCAAACCATCTAATCTTTTTGTGCAATAACAACCAGTTTAGAAAGAAGATCAGATAGGCCCTTAGTATCTGTTCCCAGAAACATATCACACCCACTGCTGTATTGTAAACAGGACTGATGCATTTGAATAGCTAAATGGATGTCAGACAAAGAAATAAAAATGCTTTAAATATTGTTGTTGTTTTTGTGGGGCCGTTATAACAATAAAGACAAATTAAGGATAAAGGTTTATATGAAAAGCGACTGAAAACATGTTATGATGGTGATTTAAATGGTTTAAAAACAAGGAGAACACAAACTGTGATCCAACACTGTGCCTCATTAAACTACAAACCCAACTGCTATGATAGAGATTGTGCCTCTTAAATGGGCTGAGGAGCTTTTTTTCTTGATGATATCTCATTAGCATGTCAGCTAAACTCACAGCCGCTCTGCACCTCATCACATCCCAGCCTCCTCTTATTCACACTCCACCAGCAGACACTGACATTTTTCTAATGAATCTATCAGACTGCCTCCCAATTAGTAGTGAGACACAGAGAGTGTACAGGAAGTGTAGTTATATTTGTGTAATGTGCAATGTTCTCTTGCAAAAGAGCTGTTTGGGTTACATTTAATCCCTGCAGGTGTGAAGCTTATCGGAAAGAACATTCATTCGTGAACCAGACTGAAGAAAGCACAAGATGTATTTCCTAACAATTCAGGCCTTTCACAATTTATAATGCAGCATACAACCTGTTGCAAGCAGGATCAGGTTAAGGCTCTTTTGTTATAAGACATAGGCATACAGTGGACTAGTTTACAATGTTATCAATATTTGCCATCTATGTGTTCATAAAGAATATAATACTCATCTAAATGTAAAATACCGGATTCTCAAGGAGATCCATTCTTAGACTTTTTAGATATAAAAATGCATTATGCACAAATGGACTTGAGAAAGACCCCACTCAAGAGATGTTGTGTCTACAGTTATTGGCATAAGCTGTAACAAAAAACATTTGGGAACCTATGTGCCTAATAGTTGCTGTGTTTAATACAGTGCCAATCCTCCCGCACTATTTTCAAGTCAATAATGTTCTACAGTGTGTTTCAAACTGACAGCAGTAGCTCTGATGCCAGCATTCACAGCACAGTTCTTCCTGATCCCCAGGATAAACAGAGACTGAATAGTGCATTATATTCTACTGCGATCTGTGCAGAGTGGAGGAAGGCTGTAGATAAGATGCTATCTGTGAGATGAACAGCCGCACATATGGTTTCCTGTGCCACTGCTGTAGACTGTGAGTGTTCGTGTGCGTGAGAGAGAGATAGTGTAAGTGAGCGCTTAAGCTAAAAAAAAGAAAGTGACATGGACTTAAAGGTGGGGTAGGTAATTTTGGAGAAACCAGCTCGAGTGCGCTAGAATTTGAAAATATACAGCCGGAAAAAATCTGCCACTTCCTTACAGAGCCCCTCCTCCAATACACACGAACGCGCACATGACCAATGAGGGCACGAGATAAGTTTGTGCACAGATGGAAGGCTGACAGGCAGGTAGGCCATCCAGTTATTTTAGCTGGGCCGGATAAAATGATTGGTCGTGCTTTTTACAGTACTACGGTATCTCGAGCCGGTTTCTCAAACTTACCTACCCACCTTTAACTACTACTTTTGTGTGTCTACATTTTGAAATATAGTCATAAACCTATACAACAAAGTATACTGTACAAATAACAAGCCTGTGTGTGTTTTGGTCCTGTTGGTTGTCTATGCCCTAGAAGCCTTTTGGTGTCCTTTAGAATTCTCTTCACCACTCAGTATCCACTGCACTTGCGTCTGACCTATCCAAGAAAAATATGGGGCAGTTACCAAGGAGAGAAACCAATCGTTCATTCAATCACAGAGCCCATTTAGTGAGGAGTGAACAGTCCTCCTCACTCTCTGAGCAGTGGCTCGGAAGATGCTGTTCATAACAAACAAGATGTGTATAATCATTATCCAAGCACTGAGTGGCCATTCATGCCCAACCTCACCGCAGCCTAACAGTCAAGCTGTGTTGTGCCGAGTATCAGGAGATCTGTCTTATAATTGGTTTGTTTGACGCTAGCAAGGACCTACAAGCAGAGGGGTGGAAGGTAATGCATGTGAGCAATAACTAAGAGAGATGGAAATTCTAAATAAATATCACTTTCCCATGTCAAATTGTATGTAATCCTTGTGCAGGAGCGATAGCTGACCAACAGTAGTGGGGTTAAAGTAGTTAAAGTATATTGATGGCCCTTTTTACAGGATCACTCAATTTAATTAGTTCAAAGGTTTGTTTTTAGAGTAGCCATGTGATCTGGGCCACGTATCCCAAGATGGAAGGTAGACCTAAACAAGCTGTGCCTGGGGAAGAATGACCCTCCTAAAAAAACAATGATTTAATTCAGACGCTACTCACAAAGACTGACCGCTACTTGTCTCGGGAAGCCGGTCAACAAGACTTTTTGGTTATTTTTGTTTCATGGTGCTGCCTGAAAGAGAACACTCTTTACTCTCAGTAACATAGAATTTAGTTTTTTTGGAGCAGCAGCCATGGGTATAATTCATTAGACAGAGCCACTGTAATGAGCCAGCATGGACAAAGCACTCCATTTCCAGTGTGCCCTCTTTCCCCTGGGAGTTTTCATAAAAATAATGACAGCGCTGTTTGTTGCCAGGTTTCAAGCTGAATCATGAGCACACAGCCCCCGTTCTTTTTCTTTTCTCACCTCTCTTACTTCTTGTTTTTGGAAAAAGGGAACATCCATTCTGTTTGCAGACTGTAATTTGCAAGAGACAAGTGTGATTTGTTTTATTGAATTATTTTACCAGTCTATAATTGGATAGGATATATTGAGATGGTTTTTCTGCTTCTGTGTCTTACCTTTCATGACCACTTCTGATTGGAGGCCAAGTAGCTTTTGTCGCAGTGATTTATAATGGTCAACAACAGTGAAGAGGGTTTGCTTTAAGCCCACTCAGTTTGCATTGTAAACAGCTTAAACTGAAGTAACTCTCTTTATATGAATGAAAAGACCAACAGAGATATCAAGAGAGCTTCTTGTTTGTGACCACAGTAAATTAATCTGAAAGACATTATTTGCTAATGCCATGTAATAACTGTGAAGCATCTTGTAAACATTCAAACAAATCCCAATGGTCCCCTATGAGAATTGCTAAGGCATAAACAGATAATGTTTTCTTCTCATTTAGTTTGCTGCGCTGATATGTGCACCGTCCATTAGTCTTTGCTACACTGGCATGTATTTCCCCTATTTGTCTCCAGCTGATGAGCACTCAGCAGTCATTTAACTGTTGAGTGGATCTATCAAGCAAATTGGGTTATAATTGTTTTTGTGTACACTTGCAATTTTATGATAATAAACAAATATTGCTACATAATGGTCTTTGGGTTTGAACCTTAATGGAGCCAGTGCAATTCAACACATTAGGGTTATGTTTGTTGATGCAGGAAATATAATGTATAACGATAGTCAGTATAGAATATAGTTTGATTCAATACACCATTGTACCATATATACACATATATATATTATGTTTTGTATATTTATAATCAAACAAAAAATAATAATTATGTATGCAACAGGAAGTATTCACATTCAAGAAGAATCATTTTAAAAGCAAAGCGATGTCCTTTTAATTTCAATACATCTTATTGATCACATTTGAGTTATGCATTACACATAAATACAGCTTCAATACCGTAATGAATATTGCATGAAATATGAAACCGGTGCAAATAATTCAATGAATATGTTAGTGTATTTATAAGCTTGTTTTTTTTGCATCACAAATAAAATAATAAAGAAATAATTTATCTGGCATATTTTTAAACAAATAAATAAGCATCCTTATTATTCTAAACATAAAAAAACGGTATTATTATTTGCTACTATTATTTTATTTTACATTTATTATTTTATATTTATTGTCAGTATTATAATAACACATGAGAGTAGTACTCTTACTCGATTGGCTAGAATATTTAGATACAGCATTCTGATTGGCTAACGTGTGAGTTCAGAGTTGAGTTTGTTATGTAGCTTAGCTAGCTGGTAAGGGGTGTGTTAGCTTGCTGGTTATTTAAACAGTAATTCTTATTTAAGCTTTAAGTGACACTCGACAATACACCTTCCGTGTACACATGTGTTGTCGCTAGTTTATTTGACTTTATTATGCGAGTGTTTATGTATAATTTGCACGCTGAAGAGAAGGACATGTTAATACTAGCTGATTAGCTCTATCTTGTTTGCCAGCTAACAGTTAGCTTAGTTTGTGTTCTTCCAAATTATTTATTGTACCAATAATTGACTTTGCAGGCACGACAAAGTGAAGGACGGTAAACATGGGTTCTGTCAGAGCTATGGCGTCAACCAGACTCCTGTGTTCGTTCAACAACAGAGTAGCAGACTCGACCAAAACATTAGCCAGAGCAGGCTGGAGTTTGAGCTGCAGGAGAAATGTCAGCAGTTCACCTTCAAGACTGCAGAGCTGCATGCCAGGCTGGGTCATTGATCAGTATGGTACTAATGGGGTTTTGACATACACCGAGGACATCCCGGTCCCCACTGTCAATTCCCCTAGTGATGTCATGATTAAAGTCTATGCGGCTAGTCTCAACCCTCTTGATATAGCTATGAGAGGTAAGTGCTAATAGCATTAAGAGGCATTGTAAACATCAGTGAGTAACTTTGACAGTGTAAACTTACCTGCTCACTTTCAGGTGGTTATGGAGCTACATTGCTTAAATTAAAAAGGCATCCAATGTCGGTGTTGGGCAGCGACTATGGTAGTGAGTTTCCTCTGATTCTTGGTCGTGATGTGTCTGGAGTTGTGGTGGACTGTGGATCCGAGGTGACCCATGTTGCTCCAGGAGATGAGGTAGGAGCTGCACCGCTCACCTGACGTTTATAGGCCCTAACGTTGTTTCAGAAGTGGGTCCCGCATAACTGCATTTACATTTAGAAAATCAATTGAGAAACTTTCTTTATTGTTAAGAAACCTGGCAGCAATTTTCTTTTTGCAGTAATTCACAGGGTTCTTACGGCCATTAAAAACCTGGAAAAGTCATGGAAATTCAAAATGCTAATTCCAGGCCCTGGAAAAGTTATGGAAAACAATATTTTTCCCAAAGTTTTGGAAAAGTCATGGAAATGTAACTAAAGTTGCATCAAATATAATTTATATTTTAGCTAATCGCCGAAATAGTAATATTATAATGATAATAAATACTGTATCGTATAGTAATGAAACGACATTTAACTGACGAGGTATTTTGCTGGTGAGAGATTTGAGTTGCTTTAGCGTGTAGAAGCCTATTATTTGATTTGTTTTAGATAGGCACGACATGTTTCAGATGCAGACCTTATTTTCCTGTTCCATGTTCAAATAAACCATTTTCAGTGGTACCGCTGAGAAAGAGTAATTGTTTTGGTCATGGAAAATTAGGTAAAGGTCATGGAGAAGTCATTGAAAATCATTGGTGAAAAAGTGTATGAACCCTGAATTCAGAATAAAAAATAAATAAAAAATCTAAATCATATAATAATAATAATAATAAATCTTTATTTATATAGCACTTTTCATACAACACATGCAGCTAGTTTCTTACTAAATGACAAATCACAAGTTAAAAACAAACAACAAGAATTCCCCTCAGATTATTTGTTAAGAACCTTACAGGTACATGCAGCACAATATAACATTGCATCAGGTTCATGGACACAGAGGTAAAATGTATGATAATTAAAAGTAAAATAAATAATGGTTTCTCTTTGACAGATAAGACACAAGACAGCTGAATAGATGCAACAATGTACAATATAAAACATATTGATGCAAAAGTTATGTATGATCAAAAATGTGCAGTAAAATAATCCTGATTATTGATTTGCAACACTGCCAACAGTTGTCTAAAACCATGGTTCCCAACCTGGAGTCATAAACACATGAAGTGGTTCATGATAGGAGCAAGGTAATACGCAGGATAGAAGTCTTAACCGAGATCTATCCACACAACCTTTCTCCTAATCTTTACTTATTATTTTTGACATGATCTTGACCTAAACTACTATAAATATAAAACAGACCCTTGCAGATAACCCATGGGCAAAAGTCAACATTGCTTCATTATAAGGGGTCACAAGCCAAAAAGGTTGGAAAATACTGATCTCACACACCCAAAGTAAAAAGTTCTATACACATTCATATAGTCTTGGAGAGTGATCAATATATCTCCCTCTCTTAATACCCAGCAACTCCATAGTTGAGTTATCCACGCACATTTTCTTGGAAGTAATATTACACTTTTTCTGCTTGGTCACCATATCCCATATGTCTGCTGCGCTGCCTCCAACATCTCTACATTATTGTCTTTCTGTAGAGACAAATGCAAATGTGATTAAATAATAGAACAATAAATCAGCAAACATTTCCGCATTAAGTATTCTAGTGACCTTGTCTCATCAGTATACAAATATATTTGGAAAACGAATGAGGAGAACAGGAACTGCTTACTAGGAGCTTAATGGCCGATTAATCCCCCAGAGTCAAGGCGTAGGCTGTTACATTGAGTCGTGTTCAGCATGGTAAATGTCATATTTGTGTTCCAGGTGTGGGCTGCAGTTCCCCCGTGGAAACAAGGCAGTCTGGCAGAATTTGTGACTCTAACAGAGTATGAGGTGAGCCACGGAGCCATTAGAGTCATACATTATTAATGTTTCATCATCAATTGACTGATACAATTCAATGTCCCTGCCAGTAGGATTTCCTTTCATTGAAAGAGTCAAATTAAAGCTCTTGGATGAATTGTAAAAAGTTTGAACTAAGAAAACAAGGTTAGAATTAGTGCACTTTGTATTGCAATATTGCAGTGTAAGAATGCATTAGGATTATGTTGGTTTAGTTGCAGAAGACTGTGAGGCACCAATTACAGAAGGACTTTCCATGTTTTCTTGCTGTTTTCATTTTACTTAATTAATTCAGATCTGATCATTAGAATACACTTTTTATTTGATATTTAAAAGATGAGATATGTATATATATTTATAACTTTTGACGTGGGCTGTTTTTGCAGGTTTCCCATAAGCCGAAATCAGTGAGTCATGCAGAGGCAGCATCCATCCCTTATGTTGCCAACACGGCTCTGTCTGCGCTTGTCAATGCAGGCGGTCTATGCAGAGACAGCTCTTCAAATAAAAGGCAAGCACCAGCCTGATCCCGGATAACTTTCTATACAACCCCTCCACCCCTTCGACATGTATACATACAACACTAGAAGTATGTCAATCACAGTATCAGGGAGTAGAACGTTTTATACTAAAAGAATACTTATATAAAGGGCATCTTGGAGTTTCTAGATGTGCTCATGTCTGTTAAATCAGTCCAGTCATGCAGACCTATGCTGTGATAAGACACCTTTTTCATCACATTCATTTCAGGGGTGAAACTGATCTTCTATTTCATGCTAATTGGCATGAAAAGGGTTTCAAAAATCCTGTCGTTAACCCGAAAGACTGTTCAAATCTAACCCTGTGTGTAATCTAATGGAACTTTCACCCCCCTTGAATGTAATTGCTTTCAATCCTGCAGGTCCCCTTTTACCCCCTGAAGCTTCCTCTTCTAGTGGTAGCTTAAATGAGACCCGCAGTAATTGAATAACACTGAGTATTATTTTTCCTCCTAGAGTTTTGATAACTGGAGGATCAGGGGGTGTTGGAACATTCTCTATTCAGGTAAGGTAACATGTACTCCCCTCTCTGTACCGAGTTGTGTTTGTGAGTATTTTAAACTCTGCTTGAGTGTAGAGCCACTTGCTGTGTGTTTATTTCTGTTTTTCCTTCTCCGTTTGCTGCCAGTTATTGAAGGCTTGGGGCGCCCACGTAACCGTTACCTGCTCTCAGAACGCAGAGGGCCTTGTTAGAGGGCTGGGGGCCGACGAGGTGGTGGACTACACAGCAGAAGACGCGTCTGAGCAGCTAGAAATGATGGAGAAGTATGTGCCATGCCATTAAAGGGTGTTTTAGAAGTAATAAGACTATCATATCATATAGTGCATTATGTGTACAGTGGTGACAAAAAAAAAAATCACTGTTTGCGAGTAATGGCATCCCGTGCTTCTTTTCTGTGGTATTTTATACATATATTTTTTAATAGGTTGCACCACCCTTCGTTGACTTTTGTTTGTGATGGGTCTTTACCTGTACATGAGGACCACACACATAAACTCACAATTCATCACCAAGGATTCTGCAGTTTAAGAACACGTCATGAATCTGATGTTGACCTTTCTCATAACAAATTGAGGAAACACTTTGGAGGATATTTGTGATTGAGGACCAATGTTCTCCACTATCTCCAGACCCACACTCGAATAGAATATCTCTTGAGTCAGTGCCAGTCCAATAAAGGTGCTAATGAAAATGAATAATCCAGGACTGTGATAATTATGTGTGCTTTCCCCTTTAAACGCCCCCATAATGTGGTAAACATCTTCCTGTCAGAATAGCACGACTGCCCACTGATTCGTTTTCCTGTTACCGTGGAAACAGGGATTCAAGGCTTGAGTGGGTGCTGGCTAACCCCTCTCACTGCCCCTGAATCAAAATTGGTAAACTCTGCCTAAAACTTGAAGACATAACAGTTATATTGTCCAAGCCTTTCATTTTCCATTTATATTATGGAACTAGCAAAAAGCACCTGACCACCATGCAATGCTACCAAGTGTGCATGTATGTGTTTAGTATATATTCCCTAAAGAGGAGGCGTGTGGCGCAGTGGACTAGTGTGTTGGTATTTGGATCAGAGGAGCACAGGTTCAAACCCCCTGCAGTCAGCATGTCGGTGTGTCCCTGGGCAAGACACTTCACCCCAAATTGCTCCTGTGGGGATTGCCCACAGTATTGAGTATGTAGGTCGCTTTGGATAAAAGCGTCTAACAAGTAATGTAATGTAATGTAAATTATTTTAAGCCTTTTTACACCCTGTAAGTTGACAGTCTGTGCTTTCACCCTCAGGTTTGACGTGGTTCTGGACAACGTGGGTGGGGAGACGGAGCAGTTGGCGTTGGGCCTGCTGAAGCCCTGGTCTGGGGCAAAGTACGTCACTCTGGTAACACCTTTACTCCTCAACACCGATTCTATGGGCCTGCTGAACGGGATGTGTCAGGCTGGATCCTCCCTGCAAAGCAAGGCCATACAGGTAAGATGAGCAGACTAGATTTAAAAACAGAGCAGATGTGAAAGATGATCCTGCTGCCCTTAATGTACTGTTGTATATTGATCAAATGAATCATTTTACATGGGTGTGTACCACAGGTGCTCCCAAACTGAAACGGAATACGTAATCCTCAGTGGCATGGATAGACATCTTTGTGTTCCCTCCGGCAGAAGTTTTGTTTAAGTTAATCAAAGTGCATTGGCATTAAAGAGCAAGAAATCATGTTATATCTTGACTTAGCTTCACAGCATATACTTTGTAAAAGTAGTGTGCAGGTGTAGAAGGAGTTTGAGCTTTAAGAGTTGGAGTCCCTGCATGGGTGTGAGCCTCATGTAAACACATGCAGGTCCTGTCACTCTGCTCTGTGAGCGGTGTGTGTGTGTGTAATGAGGGTGGTGGGAGAAAGGGCGAGGACAGGGTGGAGCTGCTCAAGGGACTGAGTTAAGCTGCCCCTGTGTGTGTGTGTGTGTGTGTGTGTGTGTGTGTGTGTGTGTGTGTGTGTGTGTGTGTGTGTGTGTGTGTGTGTGTGTGTGTGTGTGTGTGTGTGTGTGTGTGTGTGTGTGTGTGTGTGTGTGTGTGTGTGTGTGTGTGTGTGTGTGTGTGTGTGTGTGTGTGTGTGTGTGTGTGTGTGTGTGTGTGTGTGTGTGTGTGTGTGTGTGTGTGTGTGTGTGTGTGTGTGTGTGTGTGTTAGACTTGATGCGATGTGTGTATGCTCATGTCTGCTGCTGAACCAGCAGTATTTGGTGTTTGTGCAGATTGTAGCCGGCTATCTCCCCCCAGCAAATACCAGTATTTGTGTGTTTCTTGCCAAGCCTCGGGCCCCTTTGTCCACGCTCGCAGCCAGCTGGTCAGTTTGGCCTCGCTCGGCCGCAGCAGTCACACCCTCGCCGCCCGACAACACGTCCTTTTCATCCAGAGACCACAGCACAACTGAGCCCTCTAGTGTTCAATCTCCTGTCATCACCAATGATCAGGAAGTGTTGTTTTTTTCAAGCAAGCACAGATAGATTGACCAGAGGCTATAGAGGTGTGGCAAAGCCATGCGCATAATAATGTGGGCGATTAGTAAGTGTTGTATTTCAATTGCAGCGCATGGGAGTTTCTTTCTTTCTTGATGTGCTTTAGATGTTTCCTGGTGCACCTTTATTGGAATTCTGTGTTTTCTCTTTGTTACATAATTAAACTCCATAACAAAAAGGCTGTTTTCAGTGGGTGGATTACATGATTAAAAAAAGACATTGACCATTGGAGATCATTTCTGAGGAATTATTGTATGTTAAATCTCAATTAGAATGTTTTATTTAATAAATCTCATGAATTAAAATGAGTAATTATGAGTATTTCTTCCATGTAATCCATGCTGTTACTTGTCTGTCTTACATTACGTGTGTTCTGGCTTTCAAGTGAACTTTTCTGCAACTCAAAACATCCTGATTTGACTTTCTACAAATGTCCTATCTACAGAAATTCATTCATGGTATTATCTTCATTTTGTAAAAAACCTTTTGACCTTTATGAAAACAGGGAGATCAATGTAGGACTCCTAGTGACCTTCCTATGAATGATATTTTTATATTTTCTTAACCAGGCAACCACTCTGCGTTCCTTTTCTAAACAGTGAGGTTCACACCTGCGTGACTTCTAATCTGAGCCTCCTCTCTGTTTGTGTCCTAGAACATCATTTCAGGTGGAGTCTTCTATCGGTGGGGATTTTATGCTCCGGATGGGCCTGCTCTGGACGATGTCAGCAGGCTGGTGGATGCTGGGAAGGTACTGTACTGCTTCATTACTGACATCCTACAGGCCAGCATACTTGTTATTCAGAACACTGACAGAGATGGAAATCTGCTCATTTGCACACAGCCTGTGAGAGAAATCCATGCAAGGGTCGAGATCATACAGCAAATTAAATATGAACATACCAGGGATTCCACACATGCCTGTATTCAAGGCTTTGTTAAGGAGGGAGCATTGCATTCCCTCTGTGTACTGTTGGCTTCTGGGCGATTGAGTCAGGCGCCAGGAGACGCTGAATGGATTTTTGAACAGTGCTGAGCAGCCATTCGCAAAAGCGTGTGGGACCTCTGTCCTTTTGTCCCGGGGGCTTACAGTGAGCGGCACACTCAGACCTGTGGCGGGAAGCTACAGACACACAGCCCCCCCCCCCTGCTCAAAACACACGCACTCCTGCGTGTCCTATTCTCAGGCAGAAGTGTGGATGGTGTCCAGCGTGACGCCACTGCACTCCCCATTCATTGTTAGCGGCAAGAGATGCTGACCAGAATAACAAGCTGGTGTTGTGGGACTAGCACAGGATTGTCCAGCCTCATCACATTCTGAACCCCTGCCTCACCCTTTCACAGCTATAACAGCACAGATGATAGCATGTAGCATCAGGAGATTGTGGATTTTGGCTCGTCTAAATCAATTTACTATAATTTCCCTGTGGTGTGCTTTGGGGGGAAAATAATCTTAGATCTGAGTCCAGGAGTAATGGAGATAGTTTCTCAATTTGCATGGTTTACAGCACTTATTGCAAATAGTTTATCCCATCACCGCAACATTAGAAAGAAAAGGTTGCCACAGAGAAATCGATGTATTGACTTTAACGTCCAACATTAATCATGGTCTCTAATAAGGCAGTCAACACTCAACCCCATTAAGGCAAAGCAGATTCCCTTTGCTGATATGCTGATGGATTAAATGTGTTCTCTTGAGTTGTTTCATTACATTACATTACATTGCATTTAGCTGACGCTTTTGTCCAAAGCGACTTACAATAAGTACATTCGACCAGGAAGACACAACCTTGAAGAAAACAGAATCATATAAGTACATCAGGTTTCATAGAGCCAAACATTTCAAGTGCTACTCAACTGGCTTTAGGTAAGCCAGTCCTTTATTAGTATAAAAGTGCTTCGTTAATAGTTCTAACGCTCGAAGTGGAGTCGAAAGAGATGAGTTTTCAGTTTGCGCCGGAAGATGTGCAAGCTATCTGCCGTCCTGATGTTTCATGATTTATTCCCTAAAATATGTTGGGCTCATTATCACGATATTTCTCTGCTGGTTCCCTGCAGATCCTGCCAGTTGTGGAGGCCCAGTTTCCATTTACCCAGGTGCCCCAGGCCTTCCAGAAGTTGGAGCAGGGCCACGCCAGAGGGAAGACGGTGGTCAGAGTGACCGAAGAGGACGACCAGCGGTCCGAAGAGTTTGTGCAGGAAAGTTACACAGACACCGCAGAGTTTGAACAAGAAAGGCGAGAACCGGCCAAGCAACACTAGAGTCAGCCGGCAGAGCGCTGCGATTCTTCTCACCTTTACTCGGCTACTCTTGACAGCTGCAGACTGTATTATTCATAGGGAACAGAGGGGCTTCTGGGTGCAGCAGAGAGCAGAATATGCATGACCAGAGATTGTAATTAGAGGGTTTCAAAGGCTGCTGCTCTTGTAAAAGCGTACACCTTCCTGTATTGTCTTGAAATTTCACAAGATGTGCTGCGTTCCTGTGAAGGTTGTTAAAACCAGCTGTGGAATGATTTAACATTCAGCTTAGCATCCATCTGGTACAGCCAGGCTTTTGATCACTGCAATCTATCCAACAAGGAGTCACATAAAATGTCCATCAACAGTTGTGTTTATACTCCAGTACGAGGTGAGGCAGCAAGATAAGACATTTGATTTTCTGTGCATTTGTCAATGTTATGTTGTTTAACGACTATCATGTCGTAACCATGGGAATCTTTCCCAAACCTCATGTGACATCTCACATCATGTGAATGCAGTTTATAATTGTTTGAGCTTTACAAAGGTTAGCAGTTCAACATTTGGGTAAAAACTGTTATTGAAACCTGAAGCACTTTGTGTTGAACAATGTATCAAAGAAATGTATTGACAACAATACTTTATTCTGGAAACCAGGGGTTTGGTGCTGTGTAATTTTGATTAAACAAAGAAAAAGACACATTGCAAGAGAACATTTATTTCTTTGTTTCGCATGCAGTTGGAAAATAGTGCTATATATACAGTATACATATAACATAACATTGCATACAGGTATGAACATTTTTAACACTGTTTAAGTTCATAAAAATCTGGCAAACAGATTTATTCAATAAAAAGAAAAAAAGTTGTAGGATATAATTTCAGACTCTGCTCTGAGTAGTAATACATTCTTACGGATTTATCCAAAGCTCTCCATGTTGACCTCATGGGACACTTGTGTAGTCCTCCTGCAGAGGGGGAACATCTCTGATCGTACCTCGTCTTTGAGCATCTTGTAGCTGCATGACAGCCTCTGATGATAATAATATATAACAGTCCAGGAGATCATAGGTTTTTATATAACCTCCACATCCCACCTTTGTTGTGGTTTACTTGGATCAAGTGTTTTTAAAATCACTTGTGTTTTGTCGTAGTGTTGTCCCCCTGAAACAGACACATTTTTTGAACGTTTATTTTGGTCCATTTTGTCATACATATACTCTATATTAGTAAAAACCTGGCACATACAGATAATGACTCCAGGTACGACATGTGTTTAGGGTCTTATTATAAACAATGCTTCTTAGTGCACTGGAATATCCTGTGGACACTAACATGAATTAGTCCACAAGGTGTCACTAATTGACAGTGTTGCAAACAAAGCCCTGCATGCATTAATACCCAGTTTCCAGTTAAAGTTATTATGTAAACGGAACAGAAAGTAAGGAGTAGTGTACTGAGTAAAATGAATGCATCTTGCATTTATACTAACTGGGGACAAAGAATATTACATAATGTTCCTTAAGGTGAACATAAAGTATATGAACGTTTGACTTAAACATTTAAAGGAATACAGCATAACCGTGAAGTAATTCCATCATAAAAACATACTGTCCAAGGTCAGCTATACCATTCGTACTATGTGTCTTGTAATATTAAAAAAGGACTGGTTTTCTATAAAAGTTTTAGAAGACTCACCTTTGACTTCCAGCACCAGATCAGAGATTGGGGTGTAGCGGATGAAGCCCTCGGGGGTGATGCTCCAGAGGTGGACATGGTTTTCAGGATGTGGGCTGAGACCCACTCGGCTTCCTACCATCGTCACACTGCCAGTGGGACCCACGCAGCACTCCTCCAGCAGCTGAGACACAGGAGGGGAGTTCAGTGATATTTACTCCAGTGGTTAACCTTTTTCAACCAGCACTCTATTATTTAATCATGACACATGGATATAGACTTTATGCCAAATCAAGGGATCTGTGTTTTGTTTGACGGGGAGGTTCACAGTGTCACCTCAATAGAATGTTGAGTTGAACTGAGGTTATACCGATGTACGCGGTACTATCAGTCTTTAGTCTTTTGTTTGACCTGCTTTGGACCTAGTCTTGATTAAAATGATTCCACTTAAGTTTGGGAATTCATTTTGACATGATTAAAATGGTCTGGACTGCAGCACCTTTTGTAGTTGTTGATCACCTAAGAACTAAGAACCGACAATTCATACTTTTTCTCTGCAGGGGCAAGACAATGAGCGGCTTATTCATGACACTATGTTTGAACTATTAATGCACATTACATTACATGTCACTTATTAGACGCTTTTATCCAAAGCGACTTACTTACTCAATACTGTGGACAATCCCCACAGGAGCAATTTGGGGTGAAGTGTCTTGCCAAGGGACACAACGACATGCTGACTGCAGTGGGGTTTGAACCTGTGACCCCCTGACCCCAACACTTACGGACAACCCACTACGCCACACACTCTCTTAATGCACATCCTTGGCTTTCTATTGATGACGCACTTGGGGGCGTTAATTACGGAATGCAGTTTTTTTTCCAAAATGGCAGCAAACGTTTCATGGCAGTAAGGGAGTTACAGTAAGTGCTGGAACTTATTAACAAATCGCTTTCTCTGGTATGTTAACTTTACACCTTTCAAAATCCCATTTGAACTCATGTCTTTCGTGGGAGACAGCACAACCTGCTACTCCTTATTTTCAACCATCATACATTTATTATTTCATATATATGCATGACCAGTTTAAAGCATGCACAATACCATTAGTATACATGTTTTAAAATCAAATTGAATTAAATCATTTAAATGTATTGTCATTTTGTGGAATAGATTGACCGGATGACCACAATGTACATGCTATATAAAAAACAGAGAAACTGATCTTTGTGATCCCAATTACTGTATTATGCAAGGCTTGGTGATGACTCATTCAAAGCACCATCAGGTCAAACTATGTAATTGTCATGTTGGTACCGTACCTTGCAGTGGAGGTGTCCATCCTGGTAGAACCAGATCTGATCGAATCCATCAGTCTCTTCTGTTTCTTGGATCCTCAGCAGTTTGACCTCCTCCAAATCGCCGGTCACTGACATCATGAGCCCCGAGTGTCTGTTCCTTAAACGGAAGTGCACTCGCTTCTACTCAGAAATAACACATAACCAAAAAACACAATGGCATCAGGGCTTCTGCTTCGTGAAAAACAGGGTTCATTATTCTGAAAGAGAAGTAGGTTACCAAACAAAATGTGTCTGTCCCTTTTTCTAAACAAAGTTTCAACGTTACATAAGGAAATCAAAGCTTCTAATATACAGCTCTACACAAACTAATCTGATATAACCGGACTTCAATGTGAGTCATCTTTGAAAGAAAGAAAGGATGTTCTCCACCATACAATTATATTTTGATTAGGGTTTAATAATTACAGTTTCAGATGCTGCAAAGATCTTTTATAACAAAGAAACAATAAGCTACAATACGTCAGTTGTTCACAGTAGATCAGAGTAGGTCTGGAGTGGACAGTATGTACAAAATAATACAATAGGTATTCAGTGTCCTTTTGATCAGCTGCCTAGTGTCCAACATTAAATTACAAATTGAATGTAAAGTACATTAAGAAAATGGATTAACATAAGCCAACTCTAAACCATACAAGCAGTGAAAACTTGATTAAGTGACCTAAACAGTGCAATCTTTGTAAGGTACATGCACATGGTTAAAACATTCATAAAGGTAGCATTGCAGTGCAGAGACACTTTGTGCCTAGTGTGGAGTGAAAGGATATACCTGTGTGAGAGGGCGAAGGGATCCAATTTTCTGCCAGCTGCTGAACCTTCTCAAGTCTGGCACCTCGCCAGGTTTCAGCAAGATCTGAGGACCACGATAGTTGATTCCCTCATATAAAATCCACCTGGTGATGAAGAAAAAACAATACAGAGTAAAGATTTATATGTTCAACATCCACAGTGAAACCAACACCACTTTCTGCTCAGCTTTTCTCAGTTCATTTAAAGATAAATACTGTTTACAATGGTGTTTCCTATTTATACTGAGAAGTTAGGCTGGCCAAATAACAAACGTTTGATTTGCTTGTATTTCAACAATCTTTTAATTCTTCATGTCAACATACTGCATCGACGAGTAGAACAATGCATTTCATAGGTTATTTGTATGTATTTCTCTTCCTTCATTGTATTTTGCTTCTTGTAACATTATAACAGAGATAGATAAAGGTAAAATACATACAAATGTTACTCTTACTTTCAACTTCTGGTGTTTATGTTTATTTAGGATCCCCATTAGCTTTGGCTCTTGACAAAAGCTACTCTTCCTGGGGTCCGAAACTTAAAACAATACAACAATAACACAATAACATTCAAGACATAAGTCCTGACATCATTAACAACATCATCGACAATCTCATCCACTTTCAATATCAATCTCAGCCAAGCATGAGTGCACAAGACACCCACCAGTACAAAGCATGAGATACAATTCAATCAGTGTTCACAGCTCACAAGGGTACATGGTCATTAGTGGATGGCCCTTCAATCTCTTCTTGAAAGAGGCTCTGGACTCTATTTCAGCAAGGTAGTTTGGCAATGAGTTCCATTCCTTTATAGCTCTATAAGTCAGAAGATTTGTCCTGGGTTTAGGTGCCAGCAGATGGCCTGATGTTGACTACTGAAAAAGACTAAATATTTGTATGCACTTTAAATGAATTGTTGTGGGAAAAAAGAAGAAAACATATATTTTGATGATGATGATTTTGAGAGAATAATTGTGTTGTTTTTTTTAAAACAGGAAAATGTACATGCAAGTTTATCTTTGTAATTTATGTGCCTTAATAACAATAAAGCGTCTAAAAATTGATGCCTGATGTAGCTTGTCTAGTCTTATGGTCATGCTCATCTCTTGTGTAAACTATTTGATCATAAAAATATAGTGGTCTTTTGCTAAATTGGACATTTTTTAGAAAAGTGATAACACGAGATTGCAGACGTTTCTCAACCGGAAGCCATGATAGGCTTCTATGCATAACTCCAATATGAGTGCGCTCCGAACAGTGGAGAGCTAGTCTGGCAGCCTTGTTTTGAGCTATTTGTAATTTCTGTATATATGTTTTTGCTGCTGATGACCATATGACCGGACAGTACTCAAGATGTGACAAAACCAGAGACTGAATGACTTGTTTCAAAGTGGTTGGTGTTACATACTTTGTACATTTTCTCGTCACAGCTATGCTCCTTCCCATTTTAGTTACGATACTGTCAATTTGCTTTGTCCACTGTAAACCAGAATCAAGAACAATGCCAAGCGACTTTGTCTCGTTTACCTGTTCCACTGGCTGACCAGCCAGTGTCAGGCTTAATTGAGGATTGCTGCTTAACATATATCTGGATCCGAACACCATTGCTTTTGTTTTTGCAATGTTGAGTACCAGTTTGTTACTGTTGACCCAGTCTGCTATGGCTTTAATCTCTGGTGTTATAAAGCCAGGCTTTCTAACTTGTGAAGGAACATATTCTTCTTTTAGCTTTATTTGTCGAGTCTCCGCCTTTGCAGAACTGTGTCAAAGGTCATTTCTCTAAATGTGCTGAGCTTCACTGCGATCCAATTTCTGTCTCGGACATTAAATGTTGCTTTGAACTGGGATCTCAATGGCCTGTTGTTGGGCTGATTG